AGAAATGGGTTAATATAGAGACAATATCATGATGGAATAACTTGAATTTATTGCAACTGAAAAATGTTACCAAACTTTAATAGACCCAGCAGTGGGAAGAGGAATTTTATAAATTGCTCCAAACTCACCACCACTGGGTCAATTCCAACTCATAGAGAAAGATAGTCTCATCTTTCTTCCGTGGAGCAGCTGGTGGATTCAAACGGCTGACCTTGTAGTTAGCAGCCCAACATGTAAGTCACTAAGCTGCCAGAGCTCTTTAGAGTTTTATAGATAGAATGTGTTAATTCTATCGTCTCTCAGATTTTCAGAGTTGATACTTTAAAGATGTATTAATTCACTGCATGTTAATCATTGCTGGAGAAATAATCCTTCATATTTGTGGGCTTGTTTCTATTATTTGTGAAGTAGTAATTAAATAACAATGGAAGTTATGCGGTTCTCAAACCATTTACCTCTTACATGATGAGCACATATTTAATAATGTAATGCATCTTAATTGTTCAGTTTTATATTTTTCCCTAATTTCTTGAGGAAATTGGGAAGGTTAATCTTTTCTCTTGGCGATTTCTAATAATTACTATTAAAATGCTTTTAGAGAAGAGAAAGTTTTCCCTCTCCTTTTGGTGATGAAATAGGCTCGTTGGTAGTCATACTGTCTTTTGGCATTACTGGTGTCTTACTTTCTGTCATCAATATGTGTATTACTACCATTTTTCCATTGTAGATTGTTACTAATATGGCTGACTCTTAATACTGTTATTTTTGAATGGCCTCATTTATGGTTAACCAACATGCAGGGATTGCATTTAACTCAACAGAAACATTTCTGAGAAACACCTCCAAGGTGTTTTGCTTTTAAAAGGTATATTTTTCATGAAATATAAAAACTTTACTCACAGAATCTTACCATACAACCATGAAATTATTTAATATAGACTCATTACCTATGAGTCTACATTATAGAATAATTGTCATTGATTTCTAATATTACTTCAAAACACTGAATTGCATAGGTGAATATATATAATAATATTACTATATATATAGTTTTTGTCATCCCTAGAGAGCTACGTTGCATTGCCCTTAGATCAAACGGGAGTGGCATCAGTGTGATGGATGGACACATGCCTGCTGGCCTGGTCTTCCCTGGTACCTTGCATGAGTCACATGCAACTTTGATGGAGGATGTTGTTTTGGGTGGTCACTGTCGATGTCACCCGACAGCCACTCCATGTGACAGAGTAGAACAGCCCTGTAGGGTTTTCTGGGCTGTAAATCTTTATAGGAGCAGATTGCCACATCTTTTTCCTGTGGAGCCACTGGTTCTAACTGCTAACCTTTTGGTTTACCTACTCATTGCTCCACTGGGGCGCCTACTGTTTGAGAATAAAGACTCAAAAGTAAGTAGCAAAGGTGATAAAGTAAGTCAGTTATGTCAGGTACTTGGAAAATTTAAAAACATATTAAAAGCAACTAATAAGGAGAGAGAAATTATTCAACCGTCACCTTCAATAAAGGATTTTAAGATTTTTTCCCCTTCAAAATTACTGAAAAATACCAAAATATAACATTATTTTCGTTTTCATTTTTCTTATGAGCAAACAGGGACATGAAGAGTTTTCTGTTACTGTGGCCTAACATTAGCCCATCTTCCTCTCAAAATCTGTATGTACTATTACAATATGCTTTTGCAGTTTGATTAGGAGCTCAGCAGTATGGTACCAACAGCTACTCCTGGGCTTTCTACTCAGGCAACCAGGTACAGTCTCAGAAATCCTCAGGGGGTCACTATGAGTCAGCATCAACTCAATGGCAGTGAGTTTGGGTTTTTTTGAAATTTGATTGGTATTACTACCCTGTCAGTTGTTACAATATTGTCAGTTAATGATGATTAGTTCTATTTTTGTTACAAAGGCAACTACTTATTATAGACTTCCAGGTAGCCTCTAAATAGTTCTGTGCTTCACAAAGTGTTATGTATTAATTTTTTTCTTACTTCTCAGTTGCTGCTATTCAAAATTAATTAATTATAAATTCTTATCTTAAAATTCATTAACGCTCCCAACTTTTATATCTTGATCTCTATATGAGACTGGGTGAGTTAGGCATTACTTCTTTCAAATTTCTTAGCAAGAATTTTAGGGCTCATCTAGTCAGACATATTCTTACCCAGTGTGGAAGAATAGTATATCATGGTCTTTGGATGTGTTATTAGATTTTAAAATATGTTAGCTTTTCATTCCATTGATTGTGATGGGTCATTTTTTAGGAAGTTTCGACCTTCTATCATTTTTTTAAAGTTTCCTTTATTACCTATTTTTATCTGACATTGTGGCAATTATATTATGTCAACTCTCTATAGTTGTATTTCTTATTCTTATTGAAAGGAAATATAAGTAACATTTAATAGACACAGTAGTTTTCACTTTTTTCAATAAAACAATATTTTTTATAAATGATGTTTCTTTAAAAAATGATTTTGTTTTATAAATAATCATTAACACCCTTTTAAAACCATAGGAATATCAAGATTTTTGAAACAGTTATCTCAATTTCATCCACACTCTTATATTTGAATTATTAAATAATGTTGAAGAAGTAAAACTGCATATCCTGACATTTTACTTCCCACTTGGTTAAAGTGATTTGTGGAATAAGAATAAATAAGCTTGTGCATAAATAAATTTTATTCTAACTTTATGTATAAAGATAAAGATATTGCACAATTTGTTTTTATATATTGTATAATTAGGTTATGTTTATTATTAACTTAAGATAATAATAAATCTTAATATAAATATAAAGGTTGGAACTCTGTCAATCTTTCAGATAATTTAAGATAGATTTATATGAGGGGGTACCAAAAAAACCTCAGAATTTTTTCCTCCAAAAGCTATGTATTTACATTTTTTTTTACAAAACAACCTATCACCTTCAAAGTACTCTCCATTACACTTAATACATTTGACAAATATGTAATTCCATTCTTGGAAACATTTTTCAAAGTCATCTGTCTGGATGGCTGACAACACCTCCCTCATTTTTTTGTTCACTCTCCTGTGCCTTCAAATTGTTCTCCTTTCATGTCCCTCTTCATTCACAGAAACAAAAAGAAGGCACACAAAGTAAGGTCAGGTGAGTAAGGTGCATGGGGCAAGAGAGGCATGCTGTTTTTTGCCAAAAACTGGCACACTGAGATGGCTGCGTGAGCTGGTGAATTGTTGTGAGGGCCAAACCAGTCCCCTGTCTGGCACAAACCAGGCCTTTTTTGTCGCACACTGTTATGCAATCTTTTCAGAACCTCTAAATAGAAAGCTTGATTAATAGTCTGACCTGGTAGAAAGATCTCCAAATGCACTATCCCTCTCGTATCAAAAAAACAAATGAGCATCTGTTTTGGGGGGTACCCCCTTGTATATCCCTTTGATTCTGGTTATCTATTGTGATAAAGATATATAAAGATGTACATGAAACACATAATAAACTATTGGGCATATTTATGTTCAAGGGTAAATGTTTTCTCTAAAATCATTGTTTTAGAAATAAAAATAGAATTATCAGATTTTACACTGTGAAGCTGCCTTTTTCATTTTTCTCTTAGATAATTGAACGTTTTATAATATTTACATTTAATCATTTATTTTGCTTATTTTTTCTTTAAACCTATTCTAGAACTCTTATTAAGAATACTAGAGCTATTTTAGGGAATCAATCATATTTTGGTACATGAACTTTATTTATTTTAAAACAAATTATTAATCTATATGATTTCAAATGTAAAGTCCACCCGAGGTACAGCATAAAATATGTTCAGTATTCACTTCATAAAATCATTAATTTCTACTGGTTCAAAAATGTATACCACATAATTCATTCAATTTGGAAATAGTGGGGTTTTTTTCCTCTCATATTATTAATTTGTCATTATCCAAAAAGTGCTCAATAAGAGAATTCATAGGTAAATGGAAGTCCTTGTGATACATTAGTTTTGAGAAAAAGTAATGTTTGCTTTACTTTCCATTTCTGTGGTGACAATTCTTGTTGGGTGTCATTAGGACAGCTCTTACTCTTAGGGATCCTTTAGGGCAGAGTAAGATTACCTTATAGGGTTTCTGATTATCAGAACTAGTTTGAATATAAAATTTGGGTTAAGACTATGTATTACCGGTACTTTTTAGTTCTAGCATCAAAGCTAGTGTTTTAAGAGTTGCCTGACAGAAAGTGGGACTATTATTAGAAAGCAGTTCTCAATCACATGTTATATAGAAAGCATTACACTAGACTCTAGAGATAGGTTACTCACAATTAAGTGTATTTCTTTCCATGAGGATTAATTTTGGGTATTGAATTTATTTGTTGTCATGGAGATCAACACTATTTCAGAACCAGTATTATTTCAAACACACGCCCTTCTGAATAGTATTGCTTGGGATAGCTACAGTGCAATGAGACAGGTGGCATGGATCGACTGATAACAAGTGTTTTACACAATGGTTTTATTGTGGGCCATGTTTAATAAAGCTACAGACTTCCAAGTTGCACTTACAGCCTCATTGTGATTCTTCTCTTTGCGTTGTCAGGGGTCATTTAGGGGTCATACGTGACTTCTTGCACGTATGTAGGTTGCACACGGCCTAAGGCCATGAAGAATGAATGTTTATGTGGTTTTTTGCCTTCCTGTGGGGAATGGTAGGAAATAGAATGGAATTACATTATTTAAACCAATGTTTCCCACGTTTCACTTGTTCCAATCAGGAAATTCATTTTGGAAAACAAGCATTTTATTTTGTCCTGGATTATACTGAGCACTCCTTAGACATCTTTAAGAGGCTTAGTGCGAATGTGCTCAGAATGTGTTGGGGGAAAGCAAATTCTTTTCATGCGCAGTGAAATTTTAAACAGTTAAGCTTTTTTTTCAAAATCAGTTTGATGCATCATAAGCAAATAGCAGAAGGGCACTGAAGGTCAACTGAGCTGCTTTTTGACTAACGTTTCAGGGATTGTGAAGCAGCAGCTAGACAGCCATATCACAGATCCAGACCAACAGAACAACGGCCTCTGCTTGAGCGGACCGCCACCCGCTCCAGATCCACTGAGCGTCCTGATACAAACCTCAGGAGGTCGATGCCTTCATTAATGACGGGAAGATCTGCCCCTCCTTCACCTGCCTTATCGAGGTGAAAGATAAATCCACCAGACTAACTCCCCCTGTCCCCCCGCCAGCACACCATTTTATTTTCCCAACAGCTAATGGTCTCTTCTATCACCCTTGGCTGATCACTAATAACAATCAGTACTAACCCTCTCAGTGTAAGCACACTATTCATATTCAGTGGATATAATAGTGTGCGGCTGTCATTGTAATTGTTTATTAACTGTTCCGACTGCATTTGTTTTGTGATTTCTCATTTCTCGGGAGTTCTGGGTAACTGCCCACATGATGTACCACATAACGATCATGTTCTTCTCCTACAGAATGAGAAATTGTTTGTGTCCATTAGACATCACTCTGGGAATATTCATCATAATGACCATAAATGAAACTAGAGTCTTAGTTTCCACCCATCAAAGCTAATGTCATGTAGTGACTAACATCTTCTTCAGCTGAACTTTGAAACCTGGAGTTTTGTTCGTAGTTCCTTGAGTATTATCCCAGGAAAGGTTATTTAACACGTGCCTGAGTGAAAATCTGTTTAGCTGAGGGGAGGAAAGTTAGCGAGTTTGCTATCCAATAGACAGAAAATCTACAATGTCACCCTTTGTTTCTTTTGAGCTGCAGAATCCTCATCTTGCCTTCTTTCATGTGGATTGAATATTAGTTTACATTAACAATTCCATGGATCTTACTGTAGGCTTCTGTGTGCATGTATGTGTGAATGTATGCATATGACACAAAATATAAATGTCTTTTGCTATTTCAATAATCATTCAATACCCTTATTTTGTCCTACTTTCTTAACCTTTGAATCAGCAGCTAACCCACTTTTAAAATTATGCTTAAATAAATATCATATGAACCAAATATCTTAAAAGTATTTAACTCACTCTACTGAAAATCAATATTAATGATGTACCTTTTAGGTCTCATCCCCGTACTGGGTCTGTCCACACAAGCCCATCAAGTACTCCCGTGGCAGGACGCAGGGGCCGACAGCTTCCCCAGCTTCCACCAAAGGGAACGTCGGAGAGAAGTAAGTTTTACTTTGAATTATGTCATACAGGAAGTGCACATGGAGGCTAAGGGGAATCCAGAATGTTTTTTTACTACCCTTGTGTTCATTTTTTGTTGTTGTTGATTGAATATTTTACTCCTAGCTGATGGTAGTTATAGTGATAAGATATACTTTGCCTCCAAAATGAGTACTATTTGGAGGAAAAATAGGCTAGCTTCATCTATTTTGCTTATTTAACATCTCTCAAATGTAATCAATTCATTCTAAGAAAAAATAAACTTTAAAATAATGCTCTTAAGTAAGCAGTTGGATGATATTACATTGCTTAAGTTTATGTAGTGTTGATAGCTTCATAACGTTTATTAGTAACTAGCCAAATCAATTTTCACATACTGCAAAGGACTGGTTAGCTGATGCCATACCATGGTGACCCTTCTCAAAAGTGGAGTACCAGAAAGAGGTAATCACGATTATAGCAACCAAAAAAGATGCATGTTGTACTGATATTTGTATAACTTATAAATGTTGGCATAAGCCCTATTTGTGCGCGCCTGTGCACGCACACGCACACGCATATGCACACGCACACACACTCCCCCAAATTTAACTTCTTGGAAAAAGACCTCTAAATGCATGGATAATGTCTGAATATAATACTTTTCCAACATTATTTTTTGAACAATCCCTTATTCAGTAAGTGGACATGCTTTGCAATTAAAAAAGAAGGAAAAGAAAGTATATATTTAAGTTGCAATTTAACTTTTTTTTTTTAATAGACGATACAGTCTGTACCTTTGGAAATTTCTGTTGTTTTTAACCCCTGTGCTTTGGTTCCCTTTTTTGTTTTGTTTTTTATTTTGTTTTGTTTTTTTCTAGACAATGGAGTGAAGGAGATAGAATCTTATGAAGGTCTGTAATAAAGGAGGGTTTGTTTTCTGCTGACAGCCTTGCTGGGGGGGTTTGTAAGCAAAAATAAACCCAACTGCAATTGATGTCTCTTCTTTGTAGAGACTTTTATACACCGTTGGTTTTGTTAGTTTGTTTAGTTTGTTTTCAATTTTGGTAGTCTTTTCATTTTTCTTAGAAATTTTACCAAGGAGTTAAATTTCTTTGATTCAGTCAAGTAAGAATGCAAAGGATTTAACTTCTTTTAAATGCAAAGATAATATGTTCTCCTTTAAAATTCAATTCGTCTTTAGAAAGTACTTTAAGGCTTTAACCAAAGATATCAATTGCAGTCTGCATTTGTCATTGAGGTTGTACATGTAGTCTAGTTATATTTATCATCATATATTTCATTTTGTATTTATGATGATCTTTAAATTATGAATCTTAGCTTTTTAGAAAAGAAAGTTGTGGAATTAGATAGTGACTGTGGTTTGTATTTCTACATCTTTTTTTATGTTTTAGAACGACTGTTTATATTGTATCAGAGTTAAATGTGAGCTAGTTTTATTATCAAACACTACATTATGACTCAAGATAAAAATTTAAGTTGTGAGATATAGAGTGTGATATATTAACTAGCCACCCCCCACCGCCCAAAAAAATTCTCTGTTGAATTCTGAGGTTTATTTTACATCTTTAAAGAGTCTGAAGCTGTTTGTTACTGACAACCTCGCGGCACATAGAGTAACGCCCAGCATATTTAGGAGGCCCTCAATGAATATTTGTTGAGTGAATGCATGAAATACTGATTTAAAAACAAGAGGATATTTCAAGTAGTTTCTAAAATGCCATAGAAAATCATTTTGTCATCCTATATATGTTTGTACTAAAATGTATGCTTTTATGGCCTACTTATAACAAAATTGTAGTATGTTGCATTTGAGCAACATGGATTTATATAATTTATTGAGAAATTATGCTCGCATTAGTGATAGCATGATAAAAACATTCATTTTTTGCCTCTTTGTACTTACTGTGTATCAAGATTTTGACTTGGCTCCCTAAAGAGGTTTCAACAGCATTTCTGTACTTATCAATTATTTGCATAAGGATGCGCATGTCCAATTTTAAAACTATTCTCGTAAGGAAAGTGTTGTGGTATGTAATAGAGCTTTTTTGTCCTCCCAAGTTAGTAAAGGAAGTCTTACAGTATAATTTGTTGAAAATCTATTGTCAGAAACAGTTAATATCCCAATTATTTTTTAAAATGTAATATCTTATATAGCTATCCTCTGTTGACATACAGCAGCTCCATTCTTTTTCCTCATAACTGTACCAGAAACTGAACCTACAACTGATACTGCAAATCAGCGTGGGGGAGTGCTCAGAGGGCTTGTCGAGGAATGGTTTACTGTAAAGCCACTCTTCCTATCGTTCCCTCATTTCAATTGTTTGGGTTTTTTTCCTTTATAAAAGACAGGAAACCAAAAGCTGCCTTATCCTTTAGGATGAATTGAAATCACTTTTGTTTGTGTAATTTTCCTGAAAAGTGGGTGCTTTTTACACGTTGTTTTCATATGCATTGATATGAAGACTTCAGGATATACACAGTGTGTGATTAATTTTTTCAGATTTAAGAGGTGATAGATTCATAAATAGTGGTATATTTTAGAAGGTTTAATTTTTATCTGAGGTAAAAGGTACAATTAACTGCGAATAAACTTTCAGTTGACTAAGTCAATTTATATTTGACTTGCGTAACGCTTAAAGGCTAATTATGATCAGTTGTAACTAAATGGCATTTTATGATCAATGTATTGAAATGTCTGTTTTCCTATATTCAAAGGTGAGGATATCCTAATTTTTCTTTGTGTCATTTCATTTATTCATGCTTTATTTTTGTTCCTATAATTAATTATAAGCCTTATTATGTATGTTGACTGGTACAGAATTAGCCATCAGCACTCACAGACAAGTAAAATAGAGCAATGTAGTGAAAGTAAAGTACATTAAACTAAGCACTGGTGTTTTATTTTCCTCTAAATTTGATGCATATTTGTTTTATAGGAATTAAAGTCTGTTAAAAGATATTTTGTTTCTCTAGAAGAAAAGCCGTGTTGATATTATTTTTCTAAGAGCATTCCACACGTATAAAAAATATATGGAGTCAACTGTACACAGTTATCCATGTATCTTAAATATTTTAGGGGTCACCATTTCTTTTACAAATTAAGTTCATCATAGAAGTCAGCAGTGTGGTAAATTTTAACAGTATACTTATTTTCTTTTCTGTAATACAAGTCAGAAATATATTTTAAATATTAGTGCCTTGTAATCATCTTAATTTAAATATTTTAAGTGTTTTGTTTGCTTCCTTTATTTCACTTAGCAGTAACACATACACCTATGTGGTTTTATTTTTTTCTTTTTTTTGCTCATGCAAATACAGATGTTAATGAAGAAACTGGGCAAGTGAAAGAGGAGGGGGCAGATAAACAGGGTGAAGCGGTCAAGGAAGGTCTGTGTGTGTCTATAACAACAGTAGGTGAATGTTTTAGGAGTAGAGTTTTTTCCCTTTCCAGTACTATTTTGGACTCCAGTTTATAAATATGCAATTAAGGACAGAATTTTAAAATATAGTGTCTAATTTTGTCAATCAAAAGATATTATGTAAGCTCCCTACTCATCTGTTCGGGATATTTAATTTATCCAGCTAGTTGAACATTTTGGTTAATATTTAAATCAAACCAAAATTACAGATAGTGCCCTTGATCAAGACATTGATTTGTCATTTACCCCAGCTTTACATTCTTAGCACTTTTTAGTAATTCACAAATACTTATTGAGCATCTACCAAACAAACAAACTGCGTTTCACTGTGTGTTATAAGGAATGAAGGGTTGAATCCTGGAGCCTTGGTTTTTCCCTCAAGACTTTGAGTTGAGAAGAGGCAAATTAAAAAGTAAATGCAGAGCAGAATTAAGTTTCATTAACATTTTAGTGAATATAACAATTTTTTCCATTAAATATTTTCCCTAAAATAACAGCCGCTTTACTATTGATTCTTAATGTTTAAGTCAACCACATTTCTCCCCAAAGAGCCTTCCTCTAAGTGCTGTGAAAAGCCTTCATTTCTTGATGTATCAAACATGTCTGTTGTGCTTATATGTCATAATTTTTCGCCACTTTCCTGACAGAATATTCCAGAAAGCATGTTAAAACTAAAATATTGCCACATACTTACTATTTTATTTGAAAATCATAGTTGAATCCTAATCCTTATCTAAACTGTCAGCTGTTGACTTTCTTTGAGCAATGCAGATAGCTTTAAGTCTGTTTTACTGATCATTATTTTTTATTCGTGAATACTAGAGTATACTTCTGGGGCCTTTTAATCTCTTTCACCTCAGTGTGGATGCAGTGCCATTATGTGGATGCGATGTCTTTTCATGGATGCTTATTTTCATTGGTGTTTGTAGTTTAGGAGATATTTTAAATATCATTTGGTAATTGTCAGCAATGATTCATAATGTCATAAAGATAAAAGCATAAGTGTACCTGAATACTAACTAGTGGAAATAAAGGAAAGTTTAGTTGCATATTTATAGAAATGTTTGGTTAACTCATCTGGATACCTAACTACCTCTTCTCTTTATGTGGAATGAGTTCTATTTTTGTGGAATGCTGTTAGAATGAATTGCATTTTAAGTAAGCTGGGCATTTAATCATTTCTTATTTATCCAGTCCTCTACACCTCGTACTACTTCATTCAAATCCTGAAAGGCTTTTATGTTGACCATGAATTGATCTCCACAGAAAAGAAATCTTTAAATCATCATTAATTTGAAGAATTCAGCAATAGTTATCACTTCCATTTATTTTAATTCCATAAAGAAAAAGAAGACCATTTGCTGAACCAGTTGAGTCTTACATTTAATTCTTAAGATAGATTTAATAAGCAAATCATATCAATTGTTGGGTTTTCATAAAAGTACAACTGTATCTTTCTAATTCTTATAAAAGTAGTGCTTTTCCTTGACCTTATGCTTGCTGTTAATTCTTTCTGGACCAGAAGTATGTACTGTTCTTTGATTTATCACTGTGAGGTGTGATATTTAGTGCATGCATTTCCTTCCCATTGTGTGATGCTATTTTTTGTTCTGTCAGTTTCTACTTGGGTTGTTAATGACCTTAATTATTAATCACTATTGTCTGTTTTTAATATTGTAAAGACAATGAGGAAGAAACACCAAACCCACCTATTAATGTGAAAAAAGGCAAGTCTAAAATGAAATTGATAGTGTCATTCTATATTGTATTTTTTGTATCCATATGTGTAATGCAAGTGAATGATATGCTACGCAAACAAAGCATAAATACAAGTTATAGTCCAATTAAGCTCTCCAACTTCAGCTTTTGTACATATCTGAAAATGAAATTTGAAGTGTAAATATTACTTTATATTTATGATATTATTGGCTCCTAGGACAATCTTATCTTATGAAATGTATTGTGTTGAGATTGGAAACTCTGTTTTATTGATCATGTTTAAAGGACAATATTCTGAGGGAAATGGTAGTAACTATAATTGTCATGTATTGGAAAAATACAACAGATATTTTTCAGTTTCATAATGTAAAATTAAACTATTTGCAAAATATTCTAATTTGGAATTTTAAAGTAGAAAAATTTAATGAGCTAAATGATAATATTAGATGAATATTTTATTTGTGGATTTCTCATCTTTATAGATGAATTAGTATAATGTCTAGGAATTTGCTTGGTTTTAGTACATAGGTGTGATTTTCCCATAACGTGGTGGCTTAATTCTGTAACCCACCAAAACTGAAATCTATGAAAAATATTAGGGCCACATGTCTGGTCAGTAATTTCTTATCCAATAAAATACATATATTGATTTACAATACCAACAGTATAAAATTACTCTACATAAAGGTTAACATTCTAAAACTAGCTCTATACCCCCTCACCAGGCTCAGACTGTGCACGGTTTGGTTCTG